ATGATGTTGTCATATAATTCTTTTCTAATCTGATCTAAATGTTTGTTTTGTTTGATTTACTTTTTTGTTCAGTTTGATGGTTTTTTTTTTTTTTTTCGTAGTGTAACATTCTAATTCTTCAATTTGTAACTTCCCTATGTATGTAATTTTTAGCCCTGAGGAAGACTAAATATATAGTCAAAACGTAGGCTTTTTCAAGAAAATAAAGAGTTTCTGTTCACCGTCCCAAACCCGCTAAACTTGACACCAGTTTTCAATAATTATGATATATTTAATATTTATTCACTTTAAAACATATGACAGTGACTCGTTGAATTTTTCACATTAAATTTTGCGCACATGTGCGTAAAAGTCCGTGTGTGAAGTAAAACAAATGAACGGTAAAGAAAAGTGCTTCTTTGTGATCATCGATCCTGAGCGTAAAATGGCAGTTTTTGATTCATTTCAATAAAAAAATACTTCCTCACTAATACACAATTATTTCAGGCAATAAACAATATCTTTTTATTCGAAAGAATTTAAAAATGCCAATTTTCGATCAGAAGCGATGATCATAAAGAAGCACGTTTCTTTACTTTTACCGTTGATTAAAATAGTATATACTCTTTCAATCAAGGCTTTTACTTTGACTTTTACGCACATGTGCGCAAAAGTAAATGGACAAATTGAACGTATCACTGTCATTATTTTTTTTCAGTATTTTTATTAAAAAGTAACTGACATGCTTTTTTAATTAATTACGTCGGTTTATCGACAACTAGTGATCATACCTTAAAGTTTACTTACAATTTGTAAATCATAACTTTGATGCAAGTTTAGTCTCAAAGTCATCCTATTTTTGCCACACAAAACGCAAGATCTTTTTAAATAACGCAAATGTCATTTAAAAATGCAACGTATACAAATACTATACCGTGAAAGCAGGACTTGAATTTTCAATAATCATTGTTTCACTTGTATATGCTTACAAGAGTACAGTTCTGACGGATTGACACCCTCGACTTTGCCTCGGGTGTCAAACGCCGTTGTCGTTCGAAAAACGAGACTTTTATATGACACCTTGTATTGAAAACTACTATTGGGTTCCCGCGGAAAGCGTGTCAAATAAGTTGTTCCCAATTTTGTAAACTGCAAAATGGACCTTACACAGGCGCAGTTGCCCTAACTTTGGAACTGGAATAATTGTGATTGCTTCAAACGAACTGGTTTCTGTGTGAAGCGTTATTGATACCGTTTCCTTTGTCAATTAAATACATGTTTTGGTAAAATTTTAGGAAATCAGATATTTTTTTACAGGGCGGCAAATGAAAAAAATGCGAAAAGTTCGGCATGCTTCTAGCTGATCAAAAAAAGGATTTTTTGGAACTTAGCACCGAAAATTTTACGACAGGGCAAGGAGCTCGAAATTATTTTTATAAATTATGAAAGTTATGAATGACCAACTCTTTAGCGTAGTCTCAAAAAAATGCATTTACTTTCAAATATTTCGTTCATTAAAATTGATTTTTTTAATTGCAAATGCACGTCTTGCAAATAAACGAAATTACCGATACTGGTGGTGCTTAAATAAAGAAAACATATCTAAGGATGTAGAGCTTTCACCAACTTTGCGTTGTTTCATTTTCGACCCTGTATAAACTTTATCTGAGCTATTAATTTTTTGCAAAGACACGAATTGCACTTAGTAACGCTTTAAACGGAAATGCAATCGCTTTCAGCAATCAGAATTTATCCAGGTCCAACATTGGTAGAAAGTTGTCCGTGTAACATCTATTTTGTTAACAGTAAGTAAGCAGTAGTAAGCAGTTTAGTTCCGCTTTTTGGGGAAACAGTTTTTTTGTTTCTTCTTGGTAGTAGAATATACAGTTAGAAAGTACTTCCAAGCAATATTTCCAAAGGAATAACGCGAGTTTTAAATGACCTCTTCTTTGATATCCAGGGCGTTTTTTCACGAGCGTCGCAAAACATAGTTTTTGTGTATGGGAGAATTTATATAGCGGAGTGCGGTGGAGCAGAGATCAATATTTGGATACGTAATTGAAACTTATGGTACTTGTTAGGCTTTAAAACATCCTGCATGTTAAATGTGTTTTGTCATGACCAGGTAATTTTTTCTTATTAATTACGATGTACTACAGTTCTTTACGGCAAAACGTTTTCCGAAAATATTTCCGTTTTTTTGACAGCTAAATCGTTAAAATCAGGAGGCAAGTGACGAAAATTTATTAACTTTGTCATATATTTCGCTACAAAGTTGGGCTGATCCGCAGCGTTAGCGGCTTAAATATAAAATATTAAATTCAACGGTCGTCATCACGGTGCGAAATGTTCCTTTTTCAGGATTAGAAGCTTTTCTAGTGTGGCAATTTTTTTGGGTTTGTGGCTATGGAGAGAAAACAAGACTTTTATTGTTGCTTTTGGGTTTTAGCCTGAACGTTTTGCTGTGAGTTTTTAATGGACTCAACTTTCGTTCGGAGAACGTTCACGACACCTTTATCACAATTTTAGTGCAAAAAGTAAAAAATAAAAACCTTTCGAACAATTATAAGTGTGAATTTTAGTTGAAAATGTTAAATATTATTTTGCTTGAGAACATATTATTAGTTAAAAACGAATATTACCGGATTATAAATATTTCGTTTTGAGGATTGATTTATGTTGCTGTTATTAAGCATAGTCTAGATAAATAATCAGGGAGGTACAGCCGATAATGCGTCTCCTCTGTTATTTGCCAGATTATTATTACTGCTGAAATGGTATATTAGGTTTCAGCATTTACCGAAATTATATCTGCTAATTTAGCACAGAAATATTCAAGAATGTTAAAATGCATTGCGGAAACTCTGATTTTGAATTACAGTCTCTATAAACTAAAGAAATATTTTGATAAATGCAGGTCTCACTTTTCTACTATTCTCTTGTGGGGTCACATTAATTAAAAATTCAAAAGTGTGGGTACTTGAGAGAATATTCAACTTATTTGCGACTTACTGTTTGCTTTGTGTAAAATAACTTTCACATCTCTCACATTGTCATTCATTTAAGGGCAAAAGCTGTATAAACTATTCACCTTTCACAAGACTTGCGAGAAAAATATCAGTTTGCTGCATTATTTAAATTTGGACTTTTTGTGCTGAAGCTGTAGTTTTAAAGCCGAAATAACGCAGGCTCTCAACAACAGTTAATGCACAAAAAGTAACTTCTAAGTCACACACAATAGTGTGTTTGATCACAAAACCTTCAAAAACGTTATTTAAAAAAAATTATGAGCAATTCATACAAAACTAGATATCTGCCACACTGTCACACAAAACATATTATTCGAAACGAATAATCGGCAATCAATTATTGGTATTTGATAAATTTGCAACTATTCTTAGTCAGGTTTATGTTATGGAAATTGCAAGACTACAAAATAAATATCAGATGATTGTATTTTAGATGATAGAACAAGCAGAACTCTATGTTGCCAACTTAAATATTGTTACGTTTTCCGGGGTTCGAATGATTCCAGTAAACCAATAAAATAACACAACAATTTATTGAACTCCCAAATACTAACTATAACAATCACTAACTCAAAACTATA